GGGGGATGGGGGAGGTGGGGGTTGGGGTACCTTTCGATGGGTACAGCGTCTGGGTTCTAAAGCCCCTATCCTGTCATTCTTTTAGCATTTTGTCTTTTGAGCCTAAGAAGTAGCTTTAGGGGTAGTTGAGTTCACTTTTGTACTCAGAATAGAAACAGGGAATAGCCCCCATGATTTAGCTTTCCTCCTAGACAGAGTAATGTTAGCCTGCACTTCCCTCCTGTGTATTCAGAATTTGCCCATGCTTTGGAACTCTCTAGTGTACCCATACGGCCTCGAGATCCTTGGACTTAGTCACACAGTGCCCCAAATTGCACCCAGCACAAGATTCAGACCAAGAGGGCAAAGGCTGCGGTCAGAGAGTTAGCTGGTGGCAAAGGTGGAAGGAAATCTGGTCTCGTGCTTCAGATTTGGGCTTATATCCATGAGTGTAGTCTGTCATGGTTTAATTTCGTGTCACAGTGGTTGTTTTTTTAATATTCCTACCAAAAGGATTTCTGAAGGAAAGGACAAATGGTTCCATTATTTTTTTCTCCCCTTGTCTCCTTCAGAGTATCCGAGTAATAAAACTTTCTCTGAATCATAGCTGTCTGACCACACACACACACACACACACACACACACACACTTATTCCTATTCTTTCTAACAAGGGAAACCACTGGGTGATAACTGAGAAATTAAGGTGCACTCACTGGTATTAAGAAAAGAACCAGGTCACCGTCTCCTGCCCATCTTGGGTAGCACTGCCCGTATCTAACTTCCCCAGTGTTCCCATCATTGGGGTACAGGCCCTTTGCTTTCCCGTTGGATCACAAGCCTTGCCGCCAGGGTGACTGGTTTTTCACTGGCTCCGTGGGGTCTGGAGGACAGGCCAGGATGGGTCTGTGAGTCACCCGTCCCTGCAAGTGTGAGAAGACGGTGGGGCAAGGGAGAGGTCAATTCTCGGCAGCATCAGGAGAATAAACTTTTCATGTTCCCTTCAGGGCCTTTCATTTGGGTGGAGGACAAGCAAGATTGGAAACATTTCCATGTTGTTAAGTCATCAGAGAAAAATTTCAGGGGACACTCTATTCTCAGAGAGAGCAGCCACTTCTCAGAGGCACGTGGGGAGTAGTCAGCCCATCAAAAGTCGGAGCAAGGAATATGAAGAAATGGAGTTTGTGACCAGAGAGTTCTGGAATCATTCACAGGAAGGAAGACTAGGACCAACAGAAGTTAGAGCTTGGTGCCTGGCAAGCCAGCGATAGCTCTGTGTATCCTTGTTGCGAAGGAACATCTTGTAGTGACCGCAAAGTTCACTAGAACAAATTTAGAACCCAGAAGCCACAGTTTTAAAAATACATTCAACAAGAATCCCCATGTATTTGTCTTGTAGCCATCACTAGCATTGCTGAAGCTCAATAACTTGGGAATCAAGTTATCCCTTGACATTTCCTGGGACACGTAATCTCCTGTTGTTGAGGAACTTGGTTTGCAATTGTATTTTTCCAGCTTCAAGCCCCAATGACAACTTCAGCTTCTTTATCCTCAATAACTGTCCTTAATGGACACCTCCTACCCCTTCTGAGATTTTCCATAGTTGACTACTTCCACCCTTCAGCTTCTAGCTCTTCCTCTCACACAGCAGAGCAGGGAACGGACTAAGGGGAGGGCTTGTGTCAGAGCTTCCTGACATAGCATTGGTCATGTTTTGTTTTGTTTTTTAACAACCTTACTGCATTTCATGTGCTTGTGTATTTGGTTATAGCAGCCAAGTGCCCCTAAGCATGACTGCCTTTAAATTACAGTGACAGATACTAATAATGCCTCTCGCTATCATGATGATTATGATTGGCGGGGCTGTGCTACACGAGCCTGGGTCAGGACACAGAGCTGTCAGGAACAGGGCCAGGAAGAAGCGTTGCACTTCTATAGAGAGACAGATTCCGACTAGTGGTGGCCGTGGGGATGGTGGTTGAGGTGACGATGAATACTTGGAGCAGAGAAGTCAGCAAGACCTAAGACTGTTGGAATCTTCAGGCCAAGCTTCCTGCGGATCTGGCTACAGTGTTCAGACACCATTGGGGTCGAGAAAGTGTAAAGTTGTATTGGAAAGAGAGTTCAAGAGGAAGTGTTTCTGAAATTGTCTCTGAATAAAGGTTGAGGACATCAACTTAGGGGCCAGGAAGTGCCCCTCACCAGCCACGGACCTCATTGCAAGTAAATATGAACCTAGCTTCGTGTCACTAAAGCCCATGCTTGCAGCCAAGGTATCAGGCCACCTTGGGCATGCTACCTAATCTTGGAGCACCATTGCCTTCATCTGTAAAATGAGTTCAGGAATAATGACTCCCACAGCGTTCTTGCAACAAGCAAAGGAGGTCTGAGTGAAAGAGCCTAGCTTAGTGCCCACCCTGTAGTGTGTACCCAGCAAGGTGAGCTACTCTTTATTAGTAGTTTGGGCCTCACAGACCCTCATGACTCCTCTTCGAGCCACTCCTGCCCTCTCTCCTCTGCTCTCATTGTATGGCATTTCTTCCTTCACCGAGAACCCAGCCATTAGGCAAGCTTGGTGCCCCACTGGACTCAGAACCCCCCTGAAGCGCCATCAAGAGCCACAGGAGAGCGAGGATCCCTGGGCCAATGCGAGAGTCAGAAGGTCAGGATGTGCACACCCGAGGAAGCCTCTAAATCCAAGGAAGGAAAACAAACAAACAAAAAACCATAGGAATCAGCACACTATGTTGTAGTGCCAAGTAACATCGACACAGGGTTAAGTAACTTCATGTGATTGTGCTCAGTCCTGGGCTGCTCCCCATGTCAACGTAGGCGGATAGAGCCTGGTTGTGGCCCCAGAGAGTTTACGGTCCTTTTTCTACACTTCCGATGCCCAATGGCAGCCAATAGTCAAGCACAGTGTGCCGTGCTGTGCTTGCTCTTGAGTCTGGTGGCTGTCCAGGCTGTGATTAAGGACGGTGTAGACGTGAAGGGGTGTGTCAAGTCCTTTCCTCTCCCAGGAAACCACGGTAGGAAGGGTAATCAGAATGCACAGGAGAGGGCACTCCTGAAACTTGATTTTATAAAACGGTGGGACTTGAACTGAGTCAGAAAGGATGAGGGCAGCCCTTGGCAGGTGGGATGGAAGAGGACAATCACACAGTGAGGAGGTGGACAGGACAGTTGGGGAATGACTCTGCAGAAAGGCAGGAGTGAGGTGTGTTGACAAAAGAGAGGAGTAGAGTTAGCTAGATGGGTCAGGTCAGACATGCAAGAGCCAGGCTTCCAGAGAGAACTTAGAGCCTAAAGAACCATGGAAGGTCCAGGTGATGACTGTTGTCATCTTCCTTGTCCCCATGCCTGCTTCACTGCCCAAATCACATTGTTCTTCAACATTCAATTCACATGTCTTCTTTGGAAGCTAGTCCTCTCTCTTCTGGTGTGTGAGGCCGGGTTGACTAGAGAAACAAATCCAGTGACACTTGTATGTGTGTAAGAAAGAGCTAAATATATCAGGAAAACATCCCGGCCCAGTCCAACTCAAGTCTGATAATAGTCCATAAGTCCCTTTTCAGACTCACATGGCTACATGCAATGATGCAGAATGCAGGAAGATCACAGGCTGGTGGGTGCAAAGTTTTGTGGATGCAATTCCAGGGCTCTGGCAGCAACCGGTGTCAGCCAGCAGGAAGGCAAAGGCAGAGAGATGAGGGGAGGTTCCCAGGGCCCTTCCTTAGGAGAAGGCCTCGCCCACAAGGAGGCGCCATCATGCTGTGCCTGATTCGTATGTGTACTACCACCTGGACACTGTTATGTATCTTCAAGTTGACACGAAACAATGTAACTACCACATCTGGATATCCATTGGTTGTTTCTTTTAATGTCATTCTGTGTCCTGATCACTTTTATTGATAGACTGTAGACCATTTTAGAGCAAAATCCACATCATATTCACCTGATCTCCTCAACCATCCCAAAACAGTGATGATAACTTAAACTTACTGCCATCAAGACACCTTTCTCCCTTAGGGTAGCTGGCAGGTTTGAACCACCACCCGTGCAATTAGCAGCCCACTCAATGATCACTTCCAAACAAAAAACCAAACTCATTGCAATCAAGTTGATTCCAACTCATAGCAACCCAATAGGACAGGGTAGAACTGTCCCTGTGTGTTTCCAAAACTGTAAGTCCTTGTGTTAGTCTGGGTAGACTAGAGAAACAAATTCATAGACTCTTATATGTATATAAGAAAGATATTTATATACATGAGCAATTGAATATTGAGAAAACATCTCAGCCCAGTCCAGATCAAGTCCATAAGTCCGATATTACCCCATATGTGGATACTAGTCCATAAATTCCTCTTTAAACTCGCACAGCTGTGCAATGACACTGAATGCAGGAAGTTCACAGTCCAGTGGGTGGAAAGTTTTGTGGATCCAGTGGTGGTAGGAGCATCTTAGTGCTGGTATGGGTCTCTATGTGGCTCCTCCAGCTCTGAGACTCTGGCTGCCATCAGCCTGTCTCCATGTGGCTTGTCAACAAGAATGTCTCACAGGAAATGAGCATGTGTCCCACCTCCAGGGAGCCATTTATCTCCTTAGCACCTCCAAATGAGCTCATCAAGCTGCGACCTGGTTGACAGGCTAAACTCCACTCCTTCACTCTTGAGTCTCAAATTGACAACAGATTATTTAACTACCACATTTTTTATGGGAGTAAAAAGCCTCATTGTTCTCCCATGGAGTAGCTGGTGGTTTTGAACTGCTGACCTTGTGGTTAGCAGCCCAATGTGTAACTACCACACCACCAAGGGCTTCTCAATGATACATTAGGTGGGGTTAATATTTTTCAGGATTACAATTTCACCGTAGCTTACTCAAACAAGAAAGCTCAGATTATAAAAGAACAAGATAATATAAGCTTTGGAATGTGGGAAACAAAATATAGCCATGCATTTAGGAACTGGAGCTGGAGGGGCTATCCGAAACCAAAGCCCTCTTTTCCTCCCTTCTTTCCAGTGCTGCATTTTGAATACTTCATCTTCTTTTTGCATCTCTTAATTCTGATTTCCAGAGAGAACCTAAGTGGCCCACCAGCGGGCCCAGGATCTTGTGTGCGACATAGTGTAACTAGCCGGGACTGTGGGGTGGGGAGTGTGTTGCCCTTCAGGAGCCTGTGGTTGGGAAGGCAAACTGGGTGATGTGTAAGTATGATAGGGACTCTACAAATAGTCACTAAGCAAGTGGAAGAAATAAGTAAGTGCTATTTAAAAGGGAAATTATTTAAACTTCATTAAGGGTGGGTTATAAGATTGAGGCTCTGGAATCAGGTAGAACTGTGAGGAGACTTTGTCTGTGTGAGATAGTTATGGCCCAGCAAAGGGAAGTGGCTCTGGGGACAGAAAGACTAGCTATGAACAGAAGATGTGGATTTTTCTTTATCTTTCTGTCCTTCCTTTAATCACCCTGTTCTCATAAAGTGTAAATGGGAAAGGCATGTATATGTCACTTGATATATTTATTAGGGTATGGAATATTTTGAGTGGTACCAGCTAGAAGAAGGAGGAGCTGGATGCTTTAAAGAGAGTCCTTACATTTGAAATTGATAAATTTATCCACCACCTCCATTGGGCGAACCCAAGGCATACTCTGAATCCACTCTTCCAAAAATAATGGAACGCTTTCTTTTTTATTTTTAAGCAACCATGTTTCTTGAGAATTGGAAGAGACTACAGATGCGACTGGGCTACTTCTGGGACCTGACCGGGATAGAAGAGGAAGAAGTGAGTTCTCTTGCATGCTGCTCTGATCTAGTTTGGCTTTGCACCTAGAGCTAGCCACTTATTATACTGTCACATCAGCCAGTCATGGAACTGGCTCTCTCTCTATTTCTCTCTCAGTATTTTCACTTTTTTATGAACTAACTCATGGTTGATTTTCAATGAGGCAAAGCATTCACATCCTCTCTTTTTCTTTGGGCGTAAGACACTTGGTATGGGGGCTAGCCGGATGGCCCAGTGCCCTGCCCTGGGAGAAAATTTGGCCCAAATGGCAAACCTTGAAGTTGCCTTGAGATTGAACTCAACATGCACCTACTTCCCGTATAACTCTTACCAGGGAGCATGAAGCCAGAAAACAGGAATCACTTAATATGATCTAGCATACATATCTGTCAAAATGCCCCCGTGACCCTACAGAGAGACAGGGGAGAAGTATGAATCCTGGGTACTGGTGGCCTTTGATGCTGATGAGGAAACCAGGAACCATTAAACCAGCAGAGCCTAAGCTAGTGCACTGTGTGAAAATGAACTGCGAGCTGAGTGAAGGAGCAGTTTCTTGGGCATGTGGTTTTCTGAACAGACGATGTCTGAAGAGCATAAACAAACCAGTTTTTATTAAGGGCTCTTTGAGAATGACACCCCCAGGCTTGATACTCAAGATCTAAGTGTGAGAGTGCCTACCGTTCCCTATGCCCACCATAACCCCTCATTTTCTAAACAGAAGCCTCTCTCCTGCTCAACTCTATTCCCTCTTCGTGTACTTCCAACTTCAGTTAGCCCATGCTGTTAGGACCACTAAAACTTCGAAGGGATAATAACACTATGTGCTGCCACCACTGATTGAACAGCAAAGATGACTATGGAGTAGGAGGTGGGCAGCTCTAGAAGGACCAAAAGGCACTCTTAAGTCACCCACGTGCAAAGACTGACCACAAGCATCATGAGGCTGCAGGCTTTCTCTTGACTCTACCACGGCAATGGATGCACCTTAGCTTGAACTCAGGACCACTGACTTTGTTTTGTTTGTTTTTTATTAGCAATGATCTAGGTTTCTTTTTTTTTTTAACATTTTATTAGGGGCTCATACAACTGTTATCCCAATCCATACACACGTCAATTGTGTAAAGCGCATTTGGACATCGTTTCTCAAAACATTTTCTCTCCACCCAAACTCCCGACATTAGGTCCTCATTTTCCCCTCCCTCCCCGCTCCCCCCTCCCTCATCAGCCCTTGATAGTTTATAAATGGGTATTTTGTCATATCTTGCCCTGTCCGACGTCTCCCTTCATCCACTTTTTGGTTGTCTGTCCCCCAGGGAGGAGGTCACACACAGTTCCATGTAATCGGTTCCCTCTTTCCTACCCATTCTCCCTTTACCCTCCCTGTTTTGCCACTCACACCACTGGTCCTATAGGGCTCATCCATCCTGGATTCCCTGTATTTTCAGTTCCTATCTGTACCAGTGTACCTCCTCTGGTCTAGCCAGACTTTCAAGATCGAATTCGAATTCGAGTCATGGTAGTGGGAGCGGGGAGGAAACATTTAGGAACTAGAGGAAAGTTGTATTTCTCATCATTGCTACATCACACCCTGACGGGCTCATCTCCTCCCCGAGACCCCTCTGCAAGGGGATCTCCAAGGACCACTGATTTTGTGACCTTGATATCTTAACATCACATAATTGACATTCCAAAGATAGTCTTGTGTTCAGTGCTCCTTGGCTTGCTGTGACATCATTTCTGCTTCCTCATACTCTAGTGTTCTTACCTTTGTGTGGACAGATTGAGACACAATAAGGTCTGTAAAGTAGCCTCCTGGAATGGAATCTACAAATCCCTTTTGTGTTGACTCCAAGTATTAGAAGCAGAGGCAGTAGGGTGACTTCACCATTGCCCTGGGTTTTCACATAATTCCATCCCAACCCACGCCATTGCATAACTATGTGCATGTTCCCACTCCATTCCATCCTGATGGCTGGCCCATATACCTGGAGACAGACATTCAGGATTGTGTGTCAAATAGGGGAATAGAAATATGGATTCTACTTCAGGGACTACACACCTTTATTAGGAAGATAAGCAACAGAGAAATGTCAAAGCCCTTTCATTTCTTGAAGGGGAAATGTCCAAGCTGGAATAAATAGTAAGAGCAGTGGCAGTTTGACTGTGTGGGTGATGCCATTGGCATGCATCCTATTGGCCTCCTTTGATGGAGCTGAAATATGTTGTGAGAGAGAGAGACGAGGGCGACAGAAAAAGTTGGTGAGTGGGCGTGGGAAGGTGGAGGGTGATGGTGCCGATCCTGCTCTCCTACAGCAGTAGGCAGGGCTGCTTCCAAAGACAAGAAGAAGAAACCCGGTTAAGGGTGTCTGTTAGGTAGAGTTGAGAAAGTCCGTTTGTCTCTCTTCTGGAGAGGAAATATAAACACACCGAAAGGCTTCCATTAGGACTCAGTGCCCTCACTGTCTCAGCAGTAGGCCCTTGGCAGGGGAGGGATCATAATTCCATCTCTTGTTCTGTAGCCAGATTTCTTGTTTAACACAACGAACCCTGGTAACCTCCTGGGAAGTCAGTGCTTTGAGGAAATGATGGGTAGACTGAGAGAGAGAGAGGTCTGGCCAAGTGTGGGCTAGCCCGGGCACCAGGAGACATTCCTGATGGACTCTGGGTGAGGTTCCTGCAAGGCTTCATGGTTCTACACCACAGTTGGTGTGGCATCCTCTGCCCTGCCCAGGGCCAGGGAAGACGGAGAGCAAGGCAGCCAGAGAAGTCTTTTCCTTCTGGGCATTTCTAGTCTAGACTCGGCTACCAAACGCTTGGAATTCAATTCAATTCTGAAACAGTCGTGAAGCACTTACTATGTACCAGGGTTATTTGGGGTGGGGTGGGGGTGGTGAAGTCCCTAGATAACACGAGGCTATTCATCAAAACATGAACAGTTCAACTTCACCCAGAGGTGCCTCTGCAGAAAAGCAGTGTCCTTCGGAAAGCTCCCACGTCGGAGCCCTAGTGGAACACAGGCTCTGTAACCCTTCAGGCCACCATGGTTATGACTGGAGGGCAAGTAGGTGGCTTTTCCAATTTGCCTTGCGGTGATAAATCTGGTATGAATCCAGCCTTTGCCTCTGACCTCGGAAGGGGGACCCTCTACAGGAAGACTTTGCTCTCTCAGTATTCAGAATACAATGGCAAAGGCGTCAGAGACAGGCCTCTGGCCCAAAGAGGAAGAGGGGATGCATTTTTAAAAATCAGGGTTTCAAGGCTGGGTAAGTTTCAATGCGTAGCAATGGGCAAAAAGCGCTCTTAATGGGGGACACGGCGGCAGACACCTTGGGCTGGGGAAGCTGGGGAAGGGCGTAGGGGACAGGAAATGTTCGAAGTCCGGTTGACCGCTGGGGACCAAAGTTGGAATGTAAAGAGGACAGGACAGGAAGGGTAAGCTGGTGGCCAACCATGAGGAGGTCATAGGCCAGGCCTGGGAAAGCTTGCGTGACTTGGATGAAGCGCACTCTGATGTCTCTGAAGTGTGGCAGGCAGTTTGAACCTACATTCTTAAAGAGAGGCCAGGAGGAGGGCAGACACTACGTGCAGGGTGGGAAAGAGAGGGCCAAGGGTCCTTGAAGGTCATCATTGAAATGTCGGTCTATTTAACCGGACCTCTTTGCCAGGGATACTTCTGAGATCAGGTGTCTGGAACCCTGAATTCAGTCTTCCCGGTGGTCTTCACTTCCCCCCTCATGGGGTGGGAGGGCTCTGCCTAACACCCAAGACTGACCCGAGCCCGCTCGCCCTTTGACCATCGCCGCTATGCTGTCTCCTAACACAGGCTACTCCACGAGGTGGAATCTTGGTGGCTTGTTAGGCGCTTGGCTGAAAGTTGGCAGTTTGAGCCCCCCCAGCAGCTCCATGGGGACTCAAGGTGGGAGGATTTTCTTCCATGAGGATGAAGACAGCCGGGGAAGGCCTCATCGGGAACAGTTCTACTCCGTCACGGGGTCTTGCTGGGAGTCCAAATGGACTCCAGATCACGCAAGAATAGCGATGACCCCCGGAAGAGGTGGGACAAGCTATTGTCTCAAGTCCTAACCATCTGCAATGTCTCAAGATCAGGGAGATACTGGTGACCATGATCTTACGAGGGCAGAGAAGAAGTGAGCAGTGCAAACAAGAGTTTGCCACTAGCCCTGGGCAGCCCCCGCATAAAGTCCCCGGCAGTGCCGGCTGGTTATCTGGGAAGGATTCCTGAGAGACTTCTGTGAGTCCTGTCTACTTTTGATGCAGGAGCCCTGGTGGTCACACACTGGGCTGCAATCCACAAGGCCAAGCGGTTCAGAAACCACCAGCTGCTCCATGGGGAGAGACATGGCGCTCTACATCCATTAAGAGTGACAGCCTCAGAAACCTTCAAGAGCAGTTCTACTCTGTCCTGCAGGGTGGCTGTGAGTCCCCACCGCTCCGATGGCAGTGAGTGAGTGATATTTCATGCATGGAGACTTGTCTTCCCTCGGATGTGGGGCGACCCTCAGCTCTGGACCAATTCGTTTCTGTCCCATCCGCTCTCAGGTTCTTCTGGGACTTCTTAGGGAGGATGGCTGTGTTGGAACATAGATGTCCTGCCTCTCCACCTCTTTCAATCCCATCGGATCATCTTTACATATACTTACGAGCTTCCTAAGGAGCCCCGGTGACTGCTAGCCCAAGAATTGCCTCTTGGGACCCATCCAGGGGCTCCACCGAAGAAAAGCTCTGGTGGCCTGTGCCCAAAAGATCACGGCGGAGGAACTTCCAGGGTGCACCTTGCCTTTGTCACATGTGTCACGATGAGGCCGAGGGGACTCGGCGGTGCACCCCAACAACAGTGGCTTCCTTATCTACAGGAGACCAACTCTGTCTACCTGTGATTCCAACCCAGGCCTTTCTCTTCCTTGCTAAGAGCTCCTACCCACTTCGCTTCTCCTTTTGTCCCCTCACATTGCCAGCTCTGTCTGGCCTGGCAAAGCCTGGCGTGTGCCTCTCCAATGGTCTCCATCCAGGTGGTCTGCCGTGTCCTTTTTCCCCTTGGCCTTTCCTGATTTCCCAATGGAGAGACTCCCCTCCCCTGCCTGGTTGATTTCCTTTATCGTACCTGTCCCTGTCTGCTGGTTCAGGTGCTTGCTTAGTCTTTCCTCCTCTGGGAGCAAAGCATCAAGAAAAGCATTTATCCGACTTGTCTGTGCGACCAGGGCCACAGCCTCTGCTGAGGAAAGATCTGGAAGCATACGAGGGAGCTCTTCGTTGGAGACATGTGTGGACTGTTTCCAAATTCCCTCTTCAAATCAGTAAAGACGGGTCTCTACCTGGACGGAGTCCTTCCTGCAAAGACTGACCGGGTGGAGGCAGCTTTGAGAAAAAGTTCCCAAAATCTTGGTGGGAGGGGTTACATATTTGCACTGATTGTTGATTTTGACATTGGGTCACCCAGGGGGTGTTTGGGGGATATCTGGACGGAGGCTGGTCATGCTGGGGCAGCTCTCAAAGGGTCAGAAAGATTCTCCTGTGGCCTGGAGCTTGGTTGTCCAGATCCCTGCCTTTTAGGAATCTGGAGCCTCACCCAACTTGCATGGTTGACCCAGGAAGTGCTTTGTTTGAGTTCAGTCTGAATGCACAGCAGCCTAACTAAGCTGCTTTGGCTGTCCCTGGCTCTGCCTGTGTATTAAGAGATCCACAGATGAAGGGGTTCTGAGCTCTAAACAGATTAAGGGGTCTGTGTGACCTTATGACATGACTTTGGAAAACCAGAGTTACAGTGAGGGCGCCCTCCCAATCAACCAAGAAATTCTTCTGCAGCCCATGTGCAGGTGATGGGAGGGTAGGTGCGCCACTAGCTAATAAGGTTTAGAACCCATATCATGGCCTCACCCAAAGACCCTGTTAGAATTTTTCATGGAAATCATCTATTGGAATATTGTAGAAGAAAAGCAACCAAACTATAAAGGCCATGAAGGGAAACTTCAAATTTCATTTCTTCACAGTGTCCCTGCAGGACAGAAATTGATCCACAGGAAAGGGTGGGTTTAAGAAAATTAAGAAAATCTCTTTACAGTATGACTTGTTAACACTTTTAATATGCTCGTTGTGACTCTGAAAGGTGATGTATTATGTACTCTTTTCCAATCTTTACACTCTGCAGTCCCTTTTGAGCTAAAACTCTCTTGGCCCACACCTTAAGGAATGCTCATGGTAGAGACTGGATGAAGGCGAGAGACCATCAAGTGATGTTCACAAGCACTTTGAGAGTCCTGTGTGCTCAGTGTGGTTTCCATTACTGTGCCAAACACAAAACCATACAGAACCAAGTAAATTATCATGAGACTAGCTTAAGGAAATGGTTACATGTCAAATGCCTGCGGAAAAGTTCACCTGACTCTTTGTCCTACTATGTGACTATGATGCTGGAAGCCATGTCACTGGTATTTCAAATTCTAGGAAGGTCACCCATGGAGGGGGGGTTTTAGCCAAGCTTGCAGACTGAGATCGATTAAGAAGAAAGGTCTGTGATCAACTCTGACAAGCAGCCGCTGAAAGCACTATGGATCACAACAGAAAATGGCCCAATGCTGATTGGAAGGCCCTACAGTAGTCCAACGACTCAAACATAACAGTGATGGTGAAGGTGGCACCAGACCAGGCCAGGTTGTCATCAGTTGGAGCCTACGCCACGGCACCTGGCAAAAGCAGATGATCATGATACAGCCAGGCACACAATCAGAGCTACAGTGTGTCATCGAAGCTCAAGAACTCGGTGAATTTCAGGATTCTAGCACAATCCCCATGTGTGCTTGAATAGTCATAGAAGGCGTGTGGAAAGGGCAGGTGGATGTAGTTGTGGTTGTCGGAGTGCTGAGAAGCTCACAAAGTCACCTCCATTGAGTCCATTTTGATTCCTAAGGACCCCACACAGCAGAGTGGAACTACTCTTTTGGGTTTCTGAGGCTCTCCATCTTTCTGGGAGCAGAAAGCCTCATCTTTCTCCCTCAGAGCAACTGGTGGATTCCATCTGCTCACCTTGTGGCTCCCAACCTACTACACCACCAGGGATTCTTGAAGCATCTCAAAAAACAAACACAAAAAATGAATAATGTCTCTTCCTCTTGTGTTGGTGACTTTTATGAAATACTCACATAATTTGTGACCTCTGAAATGTGGCCAACCCCCAAATAAACCAGACTCACTGTTGAGGCCATGCTGACTCATCATGATGCCCTGCGGGTTTACAGGAGTAGAAAGTCCAGTCATTTTCTCCCTTGGGGTTGCTGGTGGTTTTGATCGGCTGACCATGTGGATCACAGCCCGACACATAACCATCACACCATCAGGGTTCCTGAAATGTGGCCTGACATGTGATAAAGATATAGAAATGTGATAAGGAAATATGCGTTCTCTAAACAGGCGTCCACTCTAAACCAGCACTGTGTTTCTGCTTTGGAGTTATCAGCGACTGCTCCAGGAACAGGAAGTCCTCACCCCTGCAGATACTCAGTCTTGAGCTGGAAGCTGCAGGGAAGCGCTGCCAATGAGGCCAGGTGGACACTGTTAAATTCGCTTTGAAGCAAGTCAGGCACCTTCCTGTCCCCACATCTGCACTGACTTGACACTGGTTCCTGGATGACTGTAGGTCTCTTCCCATGCCTATGACTCACTCTTTAGATTTGTATTGCTGAATGTTGTCTCCTGAGCATTGGTGTACTTGCCAGCGAGTTACTCACCAAGGATGTACAGGAAGCAAGTCCAGGCAAGTGAGTTTTAAGATTCCCTATGGCCACCTTTGACTCTGATGTTTATTGGTCGCCATTTTGCTTGCAGAATAATAAAGCAAGGAAGAAGTTGTGTCCTTGCCCTAACTCCCAGATGTGGGACACATCTGTAGCTCCAGCTGTGGTTTGGCCCATTGCACCTTAACGTCTGGGGTGTGAGGATCTTTGGTGGGATGACCAGATGTATTCTTCTGCCTTTGGTCAAACTGCTGTGCGAAGCATGTGGCTTCCCTTTGTATCAGCTGTGCAGTTAATATGTCTTCTCTCCTTTCTCAACACTGGCGCTGTCTGCAGGAGCGTGCCCAGGTTTGGTTTTCAGTGTGATAGCAAGTGTTTTGTGTTCTCTCTCTGCCCAACCTTGTGTTCTTGGTCTGGAGTCCTTGTGACCACCTTGTAACCATTGTGTTCTTGCTCTAGAGTCTGTGTGGCGCTGCAATTCATGTCCATGACTGTAATGTACTTGTCCTAAGTCCTGACTGTAATGTACTTGTGATTTCTGGTTCTAAACCTGTAGGCGAAGGTCACTCTTCCACTTACTTACTAACCCCTCTGGACTCTTTGGCTTTCAGGAGCATTCCCGGCCTGAGTACGAAACCAAGGTTCGAGAGAAAATGCTAAAGGAGAGTGACAAGTCAGTCGTCCAGAAGTTGGAAACCGATAGGACTGAGAGTGATGACGAGGTAAGATGCTGGTACTTGTTCGTTGACTTCTTCACTTTTGAAGATCTCATTCGCTTTGTTTCTGGAGTACCATAGTGAAGGAGGATGGGCCTGAGGGAAGGGGTTGATATGGGGCAAGATACAATGACATCATGAGAACTCCCATTTCCCTGTTGTCAGAGGTTATGAGTTTAGCTGTGACTCGATCGTTTTTCTGCATAGTACTGTTTGGTGAACTATAAGAGCAGCCTGGAGAAGAAAGAGACTCTTCAGGACTGGTTCCTTCAGACCTAAATTCCTAAAATCATGTTGTCCATTACTACAGTACAGCTAGCCCTTATCAAAGGTTTATTCCATGCTGGACACTGTGCAAACTGCATTATCTGATGTCAGTCAATATTTACAATACATCAACAAGGCTGGCACTGTTGTTATTTATGTTTTAACTCGGAAAAACAAAACTACGTTCAGAGATCAAATCACTTTACGGAAGTCACAAAGCAAGTAATGGCGGATGGATTGGGCATCCCAACCCAGGTCTGCTTATTAGAGAGCCTGCGCACCTAGCATTGTGCAGTCCTACCTTTTGTGTGCAATGAAGAAATCAGAGAAGGAAAGTAAGCAATGGGCCCAAGAGGTGGCAGAGGCAAGCCCACACCTGTATTTGCTTGCGTGGCTCACAGTATTCCTTACCCTTCAGAGGATTCAGGTGAACCTCTGAAAGCAGGAAGATAGCAGTAAATACGAATTCTGAGTTCTATTTCTGAGTGTTCGGATGCCCTTCCGATATTGAGACTCTTTCGATGTTCACGCTATGCTCTCTGAAGACTGCGGGGGCGTGAGTAGGTGGGTGGGTTGTGGTGCAGTGAAGGTCATTTCTTCTGACCATCCTGTCGCTGAGTGCATGTAAGTGTATCTGTGTGTGTTTATGTCTGTCCTAATCTGGTTCCAGAAAGGGAAAAAAGTCACTAAGATTGAAAATCTGTTGTTTTTTTACATGCCTCTTTTCTCAATCTTGGATTTGAATTGAATTTCTTTTCATTTTACATTAAGTTGAAACCATTCCTGTTAGCATGCAAATTTATGCAAGCACCAAAACAGAAGAATGTGGTGTTTTTGAGCTCAGAATACTGGCATTTTATTTTAAATAGGACTTAAGGAGAGAGAGAACAAGAGCGCGTACGCGCGCGAGAGAGAGCACTTCAGAGTTATTTTTTTCTCAGACAAAGAGCAAGTCCAAGACCACCAGTCATTCAGGGAAATAATGACTTCATTATTAGGGAAGACTCATCATCACCACCACCCTCATCAGAAAGCAGACATTCTGTGTACTGTCAGCTTCAGCAACTCCCTGCAACCCTCCCCCGCGAGCAATATACAATGGATAATTTTATGGAAATCACATGTAACTTTTATTGACCACTGACTCATTTAATTTTAATTCCATAGACGGGAATGCCAGGGAGCTCAAATGGCGTTCATGGAGGCTGTGGTTCTAATATAAACACTGCTTGGCTGTATATGCATGAGAGGTCAAATAACTTTCAGGAACCATGAATAATTAAAAACCATCTGAATGCATTATGAATGATACATATGTTTATGTTTTAGCATTCAACATCTATTTTCATTTCGCTGTTGAGAATGCAAAGCTCAAAGCATCTAATGCCTATGATCACTGTGGGGAAATGACCTTCCCGAACGAGCAGAGTAAGATCATAATGGCCTGGAGTTTGATGGTCAGGATTCTGGTCCTGTTCTTAGTCTCGCTGAGGTCCTAAGTGCTTCGTTCTTGCTGCAAATCTAGCCTGAGGTGGGGGAGAACGCATTGAGCTCCTGTTGTTTGATGAGAGGGATGATGTTCTTGCCTGGAGTAAAGAGTGGTCACTGATGCCTACTGCACCATGTGACTCTGGCAGCTCCATTCACAGCACAGTAGTGCCTGTGGCAAGATGTGTGTACCATGTGGAAAGGCACGTTCTTCCAGGGAACTCAGTCCAGCCAGTGGTCTGGGATGTGCTTTTTACCCCAGCGGATCACCTTGGTTTCACCTTCATTGTTACCCTGAGACTGCATAGCCTCCCTCTCCTTACCTTCCTTCCTATTGAATAATACAAGGCTCCCAAGCACTGCGACTCAAAGTGCGCCAATAACTTACCCAAGACCACCAACTCTTATCTAATCCCCAAGGCCAAGTGTATTTAAACATTTTTAGTCCATTTTAAAAAAGCATTTTAATGGAGATATAAATCTCATACCATAAAATTCACCTACGTAGTGTGTACATTTCAGTGATGTTTATAGCCAGAGATTTGTGCAGCAATGCTCATGATCCAAGTTCATTCATTTTTTTCTCATCCCTCAAAGTAACCCATATGTATTAGTTACTCCTCATTTCCCACTTCCACCCACCCTGGAGCGCAGAGAAGCCACTAATCTATTTCCTGACTCGACACATGTGCCGATTCTGGACATTCCATGTCGATGGGATTATTTTATATGTGGTGTTTGATGATTCATTTCTTTTATCTAGAATCAAAGTTTCAAAATTTATCCATACTGTAGGATCTATCAGTATTCTTGTTGCTTTCCAAATGATCTTTTATTCTATAGATATATTATTTTTTTTAATCCATTTGTCAGTTGGTGGACATTTGGATTATTTCGTTGTTAAGGCTATAATGAATAATGCTGCTATACGCATTCATCTACAAGACTTGATGTGGACATATGTTCGATTTATCTTGGTATATACATAGGAGTGGAATTGCTGGATCCTAGGATAACTCCATGCTTAACATTTTGTAGAACGACTACTCTGTTTTCCAAAGTTACTGCTTGCTCCCTTTCACATTTTCACTAGCAGTGTATGCAGGTCTTCCCGACCAACATTTGCCATTTTCTGTCCCTTTGATTTGCTCTACCTTAGTGGTGTGAAGTGGTATTCCTTTGTGGTTCTCCTTTGTATTTCCATAATTAATAACAAGGTTGAGCACCTTGTCATGTGCTTCTGGGACATTTCATGCTTGATTTAGAAAAATGTCTATTCAAATCCTTTTAATATATTTTAAAATTAGATTTTTTTGCCTTGTTTACTACTGAGTTGTATTTTTCTCTGTACTTTGAATGCCAGATAGTATTTGAAGTATAATTTTAAAATGTTTTGAAGTAGTTCAATGTATCTGCCTTTTCTTTTGCCCATGTGCTTCCGATGTCCTATCTAAGGAAGTATTGCTTATTCCTGTGTCATAAAAATATATTCCTAGGTTTTCTTCTAAAAGTTTTAATTAATTGATTGGCTGATTGATTGATTAATTAATTATAGCTTTCACATCGAGGACTATGATCCATTGGGGTTAATTGTTCTGTGTGGTCTGAGGAAAGGGCTCTGATTTTTCATTCTTCATCATGTTGCTATCCAGTAGTCTCATTACCATTTGTCGAAAAGTCTCCCTCCCCCCCCATGGAATTGCCTTAACACTCTTGCCAAAGTCAATTGACCATGAGCTTAAGGGTTGCTTTCTGGAATCTCAGTTTTAGTCCATTGACCTGTATGTCTATCTGTATACCACTACCACGCTGTATTGATTGCTACTATATATTAAGTTTTAAAATTGGGAAGTGTAAGAAGGAAATTGAGTTAAGTCTGTAGACTGATATTAATAATATTAAATCTTGTGATTTATGATTATGACATATCTTTATATTTATTTAGATCTTTAAATTTTTTAACTTTAAAAAGATTTTAAGTGCTATGAGTTTGGCAACTCTTTTGTTAAAGTATCTTTATTTTCATTCTTTTTAGATGCTATTATAACTTATTTTGTTAAAATATACTCATTTTTGTCTTTTTAGATGCTATTATAATTTTTTAAAGTAAAATCTTAAAAAAATTTTATTTTTGTACCATTCCTTATTCGTATTGTGTAGAAAGGGTATACCGATATTATTGATTTTTTTTAAATATCAATCTTCTAGCCTGTAAGTTTTCTTAATTCATCATTTCTTCTACTAGTTCTGTAGTGGATTTCGTAGGGGGTCACTGAACGAGACCGTGTCATGTACACATGTAGTTTGTAGATGACACTCCATGTCATCTACACATATGGTTCCCCTCCTTGCTTTCCACGTAGATGTCGAATCATCCTGGGCACTGAGCGCTAAAAGTTGCCAGAGTAGTCATCCTTATTTCGCTCTTGATCTTAGAGGGGGAGTATTTCGTCTTTTAACATTAAGTGTGATGTTCACTGTGATCCACATAAAGAGAATTAAAATTCATAGAAACTCTCTTTATAAGGCTTCCCTGCGAAAAGTTCACATCACATCAGCATGATGCAGATCTGAGCCAAATGTGCCTCACTTGTTGGGTTGACAACTATCTATATCCGTATCGGGGATGGGGGACATGGTAAAGCCGAAAGGTGGCAAGCTGGGACTAAGAACCCCGGGATAGTCACTCGATGCTTCTCACAGGGACATTCCGTCACGTGTCCAGTCTGCAGTGGGTGGGTCTTTTGGTGCCTGTATGCCTAGAACAACGGAGATAATGTTGATCATCAACCAACCCACCTCTTTAGGTATTGAATCTTTAACTGCCCCTTATTTATCTTATACGGTGGTGATTTGATGCTTTCTAGCTCGACTCCAAGGGTGCTTCATACAGATATGGGAAAGTGAATGAAAAGATAATAGAATTTTCCACAAACTTTCAAAACCCTCCCATCTTGTTGATAATCAAGGCTGTGGACCCAGGAGGCATGTTGAGAATGATGGAATTATACATATGTGGAGTTTTCTTTGTGGACGAGTCTTTACATGTATTATTTGAGCCCTGAAACATTATTATTCTCAACTTAAGGATGAGAAAAAGAGGCTCAGAGAGGGAAGGAACTTGCTTAAGGGCACTCAGATGATAAGTGGCAGACCCCGAGTCTGAGCAAGGCGATCTGGCTGAAGAGCAAGGCTCTGACCTCTACACTCCTCTGCCTCTTGAATGTTTTCCTCTGGACTATTCTCAAGCC